GTCTTTTCCAACCTTAATGATTCTGTGGTTAGACCCTTTCCATGGAGGACCTCTGCTTGGAGCCAAGCACATGACAGTGCCACAAGCAAGATGGCACATGATGGCTTTGTGCATAGGGACCTACCAAGACTCATGTGAGAAGACCGAGTAGGTCCAACTTCCCTGCCTCAATCTTCCCATTACTTGCATAAAACTTATGCCTGATGCCAGGTTTGGTCCCACACAATGAGGACATCAAGACAAGCTATGCGTTAAGCCCACGCTCAAATCCAATCTAAAATACCTGGGGTGATCCTGAGCGCCAAGCACCGAGGCTGCTGCGGGTTGCCTGTGCAGCAGTCAAAAAGCTGATAAACTCCTGGGTGTCCCAAGGGTTAGTGAGCAGTTATAAATTAGAAAGGACCTCCTATTTCACCTCGGGGCATGAATGAAAAGCGTTCTGCACTGGCTGTGTTGGGAAGTAGCAGAAAAGCTGTCTGCCTGTCCCCAGGAGCTGCCCACACACGGCAGTTTGTCCTGCAGGACTGTATGGGGGTGGAAAGACGTCTCCCACTCGCAGAGCAGAGACATCCCTGTCTTTGGAAGATGCATAGCAGAAAAAAACAGACTCCTGTCATCGCAAAACAAGTTAGAAACATTGTGCAAATGCTTAGGGAATATACCTAGGACTGGAATTAAGAGAGGAAAAAAGTGAGCTGGAAACCTTCAAGTCCAGAGGGTTGAGGGCTCACGGTTCAGGCGAGTGTTTTTAAACACATGTGAGAAGGTAGGGAAGCAGCTCTCATTCTCCCTTTTCCAGTTCCCTACACTTTATGGCCAGTGACTGGACTAGTCACTGCAAAAGCTGACATAGCTGGGACATTTTTTAAAACAAGTCTTCATCAAATCCAAGATCATGAAAGAATTTCTCCAGGTTCTTAATTAAAGATCTGGGACTTTAAGGTCCATTTGACCACAGAGAGCTGTAGCAGAACAACCGTGTATCCTGACTAAGGAAGCTTTCTGGAAAAGATTTTCTATTCTTTTTCACTTATGAGTTTTTATACTTCTTTGATTGTGTGTTTGTTTTATTAACTGAAGCAGCAGCAAAAAGTCTCTGTCCTGGATCTAAAAATATATTAAAAAAAAAAAAAATCCTTTTTCTGAAGCACTCATTTCCAATGGATGTATTGCCATTTATCACTTTGACATTTGGAAATTTTAGGAATGGCCAAGCTGTCTGAGTAGGCAGTGCAATTTGGATAGGGAAAAGGGAATAATAATCCTTAGGCAGTCTGACACCTGAAATGTTGCAGTAAATTGCTTTGTGTTTTATTACCGGAGAATTTATACCAGTGGTGTGTTTTTTTCTTTTTCTTTTTTTGTTTTTTATCATAGCTACAATCCATTGAATTACATTTTTAACTCTGTCTCTTGCAAAGTTATATTCTTTTTTTTTTTTGGAATGTAAACTGCTCATTTGTTTTCGCTTTGTTCATGGGAATTGAAAGATCTTATTCTCATTTACACTAAAGATTTACAATGTAGCTGCAACAGATTGACAGATTATCTGCAGTATAACTTGTATAGTCACAGTAAGTAGACTGTGTGTCTGAGCCCTGCAGTTCTTGTAAATTCCTTCTGTGGTATAAAGGGATCTCATTACCTCAACTTTAAAGAGCCAATAAACTGTCAAAAGGTGTAAAAGAGCTTTATAGTTTGTCAACACTACAGACTGTGTGTTCGTAACCCGAGTTAATTAATTTGTAGAGAATGGGGCTGAAGACAAAGTGCAGTAGGATCCTGGCCCTGTGCAGCCAAAGAAGGGCGCAAAGTCTGCTATCCCATGCCAGCAGAGGAAGATTGTTACAACATTTAAACAACTTTTGGGAGAAAGACCAACAGTCCCATGGAAGGCTTAGGACTGGAACCTAAAAACCCTAAAAATCCTCCTAAAACCCATTTAAAGAGTCTAGTTTCTACCAACACTCCCATGCATAATTTAGACTCTCCAGCTCTGCCTGACTCTGGAAGTGCCTCGCACTGGTTGCTGTCAGGCTTGCTTAGGAGGCTCCCTGGGTATCTAAAGTTAGGTGACAACGTGTACTCCAAAAAGTCTTGTTTTCAGGGCAGGGGCATCTGTTTTCCATTTAAGCAACGTGTCATCTAGTTACTGAAATTCTTAGATCTGTAGTATCCCATAGTTTAAAGGTGGAATTCGTCTGACTAAATAGAAATGGGTGAAAGGCAAGAATTCCTTTCAGAGCAAATTGGTGGTTAGGGAAATCATTACGCAGTGAGGTTTCAAACACCTTCTGGTTGCTACTGCAATAAGAGCACGAACGTGTTGTCCGTGGATGCAGATTGCAAGAGGATAAATCAGACACAGAAGAGTGACTGTGCTGAATATACTCTGGGAAGACTGATGTATCTCGAAGCAGCATGTTCTGGAAACAAAGGTGAAAGATTATGGCCAGCAACTCTGAAAATGCTGGAAAAAAGAACAGCATCACAGGACAGCCTTATGAAAGAAGCTGAGCTGTGGAATGAGAAGACCTAAAGACTTTCTCTAAAAGGGTTGCCATGTGTTGTAGATCTGCAAAAAGCTGGTGATCACAAATGCTTAGCAGAGGTGAGAACAAGTTTTGTTCAAATACAGACTGACCCCAAGACAGCCTGTGCATTGGAAAGAGAGTTGGAGAAAAGCAGGAGAAGCAGAGGTGGAAACTGAGAAAGTCATGGGGAGAAACTTGAAGGTGTATATAACCAGATGACTGAACACCAGTCTTGGAACACAGCACCCAAAGTACAACTTGGCTGGAAGAAAGAAGAAGTATCTTCAGGCTGATGAAGATGAGAAGCCAGGACTCCAAAGGAACATTCCCCAGAAGGAGAAGGGTAGACAATAAAGATTGAGGGAAGACTTAGAAGAAGGAAGACCATGACGTGGTCTATGCAGGAGAACCTGACAGGAAGACCTGGAAACATAAAAAGAATCATAGAGCCTGAATCTGCGGGTAAAAGAATTGAGAGCTTGGGCAAAGCAGGCTGAAGAAATCACACTGCCTAAGGTCACCTGCTCAAGCCACAAGCCTTAACAATTAACTGAAGAACCGGCTGATCAGTCAGTTTTCTCTGCCCATACCCCATACATTCCTGAGGCTATGTAGTAGCCTGGGAGATGCGGCATCAGACTGAGACACGGAAAGGAGCAAGGGAACAGGTTTGAAGGAACGACAGGAGAAAGGGCAAGGCTGTGAGATTTATGCGTTGACTGGAATCATCCTCTGGGAGAGGTTGGGACAGGTAAGGGACAGGTAAAGGGCAGGAGCTGTAAGAGGATGATGAGAAAGCAGCAGTGGATCAACAGGAAGAGAAGTGTGCAGGCAGTAGCTGTCAGAGACTGAAAAAAGGCTGGAATTTAACGGAGTGCCCTTGGTTCAAAGGAGAGTTGTCGTCTGGAAAGTTACCCCTGGAGAATGGGAGATAAATAACACAAGATAACTGCAGTATTGACATCTCATGGTGTCCTGGCAGAGAGATGGGGGTGACTTAGGGGGCTCTGACCTCCTTTTTTGGTTTTGATCTGCTTCTCAGACCAGGGCAAACTAGTTGCTTTTCTGTTTATCTGTTTGAACTGACTCAGTTTCCCCGTTTCGTAAAATGGTACAAGACATTAATGTAGATGCAATTCAGCCACCTGCCTCGAGCTAAGATCTGAAGAGTGAGTAGTAACTGAAAATGCTGACAGGAGTCCAAGTGTTGTTTTTCAGGTGTGATAGATTATTCCTAGCTGGAATGGGAAGCTTCATTTTTGGAAAACTGGGCTGGCTCAGAGGAAACTCACTTCCCAGCTTTATCCCAGATACTTGTGTGACCCCAAACAAGCCACTTAGCCCCTCTGCATCTCCTCCGCAACTGCCTTTGTGTACAAGGAGATTAATAACTTTGTATTGTGGAGGCCTCACCCGTATTTACATGGAGTGAAGCATCCAGCCGTAGGCTCCTCAAGTCAATGAGTACTGTGGTAGGACTTGTCTATATCCCGTGGAGAGACTCCCATTAGGTCTGTCCCTATCTATCTGCATGTTTGGAGTATCTAGCATGGTAAGCCTTACTTTAATACAAATAATAGATGATAAACTATACACCTCCTTTGGTGACCAGTGTCAATCCAAGTTTCTCTTCTGGTGGAAGCTGGAAGACATTTTAAGGCAGTGGGCAGGAGGTGATTTTTTTTCATAAATGTGCAATGAATGGGCAAAATGAACACTTCAACACTTCATAACTGTCCAGTCTGACAAACAGAGACTTTAAAGGAGTTGTTTTGTCTGGCGCAAATTTTCCCATGGGATGAGGAGTAGGATCTGGAGCAACCTTTCTCAGCTGAGAAATATACCACTGCTTTTTCATCTCTCCCTCCCTCCCTTTCATCTCTGGAGTGCTGAGGGACTGGCAGAAAAGCAGGACATGCGCTTAGGGTTATAAACGAGTGGAGGGAATTGGTGGTCAGGGGAGCACAGGTCTGTGCATCTCTTCGGGTCCAAGGAAACTTGTAGCTTTGTGGCGGCAGCCACTAGCCAGGACAGCTGGATTTTCCAAGGCTCCTTGGCAACTGAAGTGCTTCTGAGTCACTTTGGGGCAATATCCTTGCCCGAATTAAGAGACAACTCTCCTGTGTCTATAGTGGGACAGAGAGCTCCTCCAGAAGGTGATTCAGAATGTGTAGGCTCCCCAGGAGCGAATTTTTCCCATTGACTACAGGACTTGTTTCCTAATTAATTACCTTACAGCTGCTTCTCCCTACCCTGTAGTTATTTTTTTCAAAACCCTCTATTTCAGTGTTTCCAATTCTAGCAGCTTCTGCTCTCCAAGACTCAGTTTGAATTTTCAACACCCATTGAGGCAGCCAGTGTACATCTGGAAGAGGAAATAATATTCATGTCTTTTGTGGTCGGAGAATTGCAAATAATGACCTAATTTATCTAAACCTACAACACTCAGTGCAATCCATACTTTTCCTACGGCAGACAGACTTTCTTGTAACCCTGGAGATGAATATGCCCTGACATACCTTGGTGAGTTTGCTGAGTTTTCATGTGATTCTGACACGTTTCTGTAAAGGTCAAATTCTCATCTCTGGTTGAACCACTCAGGACTAGGTGAAATCAGTTAGTGAAGTCATATAGCATCCTACATAGATTTATAAATTATTTTCTGGTAGGGGCTATAAGAAATTAAATTGTTACTATTTTTCTTCCTCTCTACTTGACATAGAAAAAAGAGTGGCATTGTACACAACAGAATTGCCTTGTTCTTAATTTTGCCAGGTCTATATAAGACTGCATCTTCACATTGTGCTTCCAACAGGAAGCCAAGATGTTCCTTATGCTATGATTTGTGATTAATTCACTTTGGAATTTGCTTTCAAGTGCCTTGCATTTCTGGATTGCCACTTGACAATATAGTTCTGCTCTACTCAGTATTTAAGGGTGTTTCTGTCAAGTCATTTCGTAAAATGTTCAATTCTTATTTTGCCTGCAATAACATTTTGAGTCTAAAGACTCTGTCCTATTCCTTTAACATGAAGGCACTTCTGCTTTAGATCTCAAGATGTGTTTTTTTTCCAGTCTGAACTTAGTTAATTATTAAAAATGAGTTCAATAATTAAGGAGTTATACAGATTCATCTATTTTTCAGTACTTTTGAGTGTTTCTGCTTGCAGTACTTTTTTGGGGAAGAAATAATTTAAATATACTGAAGCTGTTGGTCTAGAAAACCTTCTACTCTCAACTGAGTAATTTATTTACCTGTTGCACAGGCCAGTCCCAATCACTGAGGGTTATTTTATGAACTCTGCATGTTTAATCTGAAATAGTTTGCTTTCAAGGGGAAACAAGAACTACGTCTCTGGGCCTCTGGAGGGTGGTCCTGCAGACAGACTGTGGAGACAGGGGTCTTTACTCCAGGGAACCCCCTTTAGGTGTTCATGTTCTTATAGAGAGCGCATTTGTTCTTTGAAGAAGAGATGCTGGAGAAGACCTCTGGGAAATGAAGGCTGTCTGGAGATCTTTCTCTCCTGAGTAGTTCGTCAGTACCTTGCCATTTAGAAGTTGGGTGCAGGGGTGCCTCTGAAAAGTGGTGTACCCTACCCAGCCAGCCTACCCTCGGCAGATGAGCAGAGGCCTGGAGACTTCTTAAAGAAGGAGGAGTAATTTGATTGGGCTGCCTGCCAGCTGTTTGGCCGTTCAGTTACCTGAGTATTAATATAAAGGACCATTTTAGGCACCCTGAATGGTATCCAGGGTATCTATGTTGGTCAGGCAGATAAGATATGGGACTTAGGTCAGGCCAATGCCTTTCTGGAACAGCAGCTTGAGGCCAATCGTACATCCAAATGACACGTTTAGGCACCTGAAACCCACCCACAGTCTCCAAACTAAGTCAAGTCAACTGCAGACACCACTGGTGATAGTGACTAAGGGGCTTGGTGTGTTTTGTGCTCTTTTTCAAGGTCTCTTCATTCAAACTTGTTGGATATTGAAGTTGGAGAACATGGGACTTACATGTTCTCCTATAATTGGAACCATGTGAGATATAGGTCACAATGTTATACTCACTTCCAAAAAAAGTATGAATCTTTAGGGTTACCAGCTGTAAATTTGTTTCAGAAAGGGGAATGGTTGATTTTAAACAGCAATGGATGATGGATGATGACTGCTGGAGGAACAGTGTAGCACATTTCTGTGTGTGTGTACAATGGGCTCCCATCAAACCCATAAGACTAGGAATATGTTATAGTTAAGGCAAAGAACCCTCAGTTATGGTCTTTCCTTGGTGAACTGACCAGAAAACTATCACTAACTAAATCCTGTGTCACTTGTGCTGCTTAAAGTAGAGGAGAAACTGATCTGCAGGTATTGTTTTATGTGGCAATATAAATGGGAAGCAAAGAAAGAGGTATCTAATAGACCTTTTTTTTTTCCCCTTACTAACAAAAATATACTAGAAGCGTTGGAAATTGGAAGTAGATCTTACATATACAAAGAAATATCCCACCTCGACTAAATCATCAGGAAAAACGTAAAACAACCTGTGGAACGGGAGACAGAGAGGAAGCTAGGGAGAGCACAGTAAGAAGTCAAAAAAGAAAAAGGAGAAAAAAAAGGGGGGTGTTTGGACACCTTGAATACTCTTCTTTTAGAAGGAATAAAAACACTTGAGAAGATTTTCCTTAAAAATTTTTGTTTCAGAGCTTTTAAGTGGAGAAATGCCTGAAACAAGCCTTTTCCATTAGAGTGTGTTTTGAATGCAGAATGGTGGTTTGCACCTCTTAGTGACAAGAGTTGTTGCCTAGCAGTGTTCTTATAATGGTTGCTGTAGTATGTGTGTGACAGATGTACACAATGGGAGGTGTGTGTCTGGCCACAGATGCACTCACACATACTAACACATGCACACAAATCAGTACTATAAACAAAACGTCCAGAGCTGGAGAAAAATTGTGTGCTGCTCAACATGCGACGGCTGCTGTCAGTCGTTCGCTTTTATGAGGTCCTAAAAATTCACAAGGTTCACTCAGTGAAAGAAAGTAAATGAATAAAGGTGATGAGACTGCCGCTGGTAAAAGAATGCACGTAGGCCGATATCAAGAGGGTTTTTTTGAGCTGGCTAAAGCTGTGTTGAGGATGAGGTCTCACAGGGACAACCTTTGATGTCTGTTCTCATGAATGGTGCAAGGTGGGCTTTGGCTATGTCTACATTAGAAAACAGTGTGGCCCAATAGAAGCACATCTGTATAGTGAATGATGTAGGTGCTGAGGATGCAGGGTCCACACTGTATGTGTTTTCGGGGCTACTGTGGAGTCATTCTAGTCTGGTTCCATTAACGTCTAAAGTGTATTGTATGTCCTACTGGATTACAGCATCTGCATTAGTTTCATCTGAATGAAATCCATTTGATGCACTCCAAAACAGTTCCATGATATGAACTGAAGCATTAAGTGAAGAATGTCTGAGAGATTTTCTTAGCTGCAAGTTGAGAAATTTCAATTCTAATTTAAGAAAAAAGAAGAGATAATAAGCCAGAAGTATCTCCGATGCCCATTAACTCATTGACACACAGAGCAGGTGCTCAAATATACTTCAAGATGAGAGTATAAAGATTTGATTCTTCCTTCTCTCATTCTGCTGTGAATTAACTGACTTAAAGGTGCTACTCCTTATTTCTGTTTTCATTAAGGAAAGAACTGGGACACTAGAACATACGCAATGAGAAAGTGAAACAGGAAATGGAGAGATAGAAGCTTGCTTAAAATAATTTGAAAATGATTTATTGAATGCAAACTCTACCCTCAGTGATTCCTAGTGTTATTACTTTTCTATAGTACAATCAGGGAGGACAGTAACTTGCTGTGGGCTAAAGATAATTTATGATCTATTGCAAAGGAGGGAAGGAAAAATATACTAAAGGTGGGTGTGTGAGGCACATGCTGATGGTGTTCAATGTGTTGGATCTCACTGGATCAATCTGTTCCAAAGCCTGATAGGGAAAAAGAAATGTCAAGAGTTAAAGCAGACATCACAATGCGAAGAAGGGAGGGTGAAATGGCAAGATGTTTCATTGCTGGGGCTTGTTGCACGCAGACTTGTTAGTATGTCCACGGAAGAGGAGGAGGGGATTTGGGAATCTGCAACTGCAACCTCGCTACTGCCTTCCGGTGATGGTCTAAGGTTTCTGATGCAGGGGGCACGTCTTGAAGTTGTGCTGACCTGTGTATTAACACTGCTGTAATCCATCCCCATCCGTAGGGATGTTAAGCGACCCTCAACTCAACTGAATATTAAAATGGAAAATAAGTTTTCAGGTCTAGACACACTAAGGCCTCACCAAGAATATCTTGCAGCAGTGTTTTCTGAGATTCAAGTTTTCTTGGGAAAAAATCACCAAAGTTACAACATTTAAAATAGTATGTGATGTTATTTCTGCTTTTGGATGAAAAAGGCGGAAGAAAATTACTTTAATATGAAATGTTTAAGCCACTTAACTCAAGATTTCAAAAAATGACCCCTTGTTTTGGATCCTATATTGGAGACAGTTTTGAGATGACCTTGTGTTGCTAGCTAAGCAATCTGTAGTCACTCTTAAAAGTTTTTCAAACTGGTGATATTTGTCTTTCCATATGTTACTGAAATGTTACTAACAGAAGCATATGTTTTTGTGAATACAAGTCACTTGGGGGCCTAGATTCACTGTGTGTTGTTTTGGACACTTTGAGAAATCTGATAATTCAAAATGTTTTTTGTACTTGTCCTGGTTTCAGCCAGGATAGAGTTAATTTTCTTCACAGAAGCTGGTGTGAGGCTGCGTTTTGGATTTGGGATGAGAAAATGCTGATAACGTGCTGATGTTTTGAGTTATTGCTAAGCAGTCAAGGACGGTCCAACTTCTCATGCTGGGCTGCCAGTGAGCAGGCTGGGGGTACACGGGGAGCTGGGGGGGGGCACAGCCAGGACAGCTGACCCAGGATAGCCAAAGGGGTATTCAGTACCATATGCTGGCAGGG